AAGACAATGAACCACACACCTCACCTCTTGCTGGCTGCTGTTTGTACCATGATCATTGTCAACTTTTACCAAGTGCAAACCGCTTATTCTTCACCACATGTGTTTTGTCTGCTTGAAGTTGCATGCACCGACGCCCGCCATAATGTTGATGGCAATAAATTTGGACATTGTGCTGATGAGCGAGAGTGCATTGGTGTGTGAGTGTATGTGGGTAGACGTGACAGAACTCAAGTAGGTCTAATGTTTTGAGTATCTCTTGAACTCGACCAGGCTGTTGTAATCCGGTCGAACACGACATTCGCAGTCAGTTTTAATGCCACGCCAAGGCTACTGGACCTGGATATTTACTGTCGTCATTTCCACTCCGGCTATCATGTCCTAGTCACACGTCACATCCAAGCTTTCCATTTTGTGAACAGATCAGCATTTATACGCGCTAGGCAGAAGTACAGAGGGTGCATTTATATGTTCAGGGGCAACCTTACTCAATAACCTCTCAAAGGAGGATATCTATTAAATCGTTTGATCTGCGGAGTTGAAAAATACCTTCATAGACACTGAAGTGAACATATTAAGGTGGTCTTAATTGGAGGTATTAACGTTGTGGATGGAGCCAAGCCCCTCTCCTACCTCACCTTCTAAATAGGGTAGTGTGTGGATGTGGCCTTGCGATCTTTAGCTTTAAAGTGCCTTTCATTCCTCCGTAAACAGGTTTATTTATTTGCATGATAAAACCATTTTTATCGATAATACAACGTGACGTGCAATCACTTAGTACGATGACATTTAGACCAGCTGAACATCCCGCTTGACAGAGATTTGCCAAATTTATAATGCTCGCAAACAGCTACACATGTCACTAAACGACGAATTGTGTAGCATTTGATACCGCTGTTTGACTGATACATGCTAATGTAAAACAGGTCAAAAGTGAGCACTTCGAAAACTCCAAGTCGGTGGTTTGAGACCTCTTGCAGAGTGTATCTCGACATACAGATGGCTGGCTGCCCAAACACACTATGCCGCCAAATCTATACCATACCTATCATCATACTTTTCCTCTTCTACCAGCAATGCGAACCACATTGTCACTGGTTGAACGCAATAAGATACACAAAATTTGAGCAGATAATGCGTTAAATCGGTGATTGGTGTTTTAAGGGATTTGTCTGACATTTACTCACAATCAGCAGCACTACTTTGCTGACAGAACGTTTCCAGACTTTCGCGTACCTTGCCCAAGAATTAGATGATGGTGACACGGCTTAGTCATATGGCAGAAAGTAGCAACAGTAGTAGTAACAGTAGTGGTAGTAGTACTAGAAGTCAACGGGGGTAATATCTGATGACAAGTTGAATGGTGGCATACAGAAACAGTGCATGACATATTGGATTAGCGGGTGTGCCGGAGTTCAATTCAGCAAGCTTTATAACATCTCAGAATAAGATTAGTAAAACTAACAGCATAAGGTTATGCGCCTATCTTCTGAGACATTGCGACCAGGGCGAGAACTGCGATCATGCTAGTGGCACTACCTACTAGGTTCTTCAGCGTCTCTGCATTATATACTCCCGTATCCTTACACATCTGTGCGTTCATTGGCACGATTTTTTCTCAGTGCTACGATTCAATCTCCTCAAACACTACCAACACCATGACCACAATGCTGGTGCCTCGGCGGTATTTTGCGCCATGATGGCATCGAGACAGCCACTTTGCCCAACAACTTATTGAAGATACATTTGCTTGTTGTGCACAACTACAACGACACAGGCAGATCCGATATTCACCTGTTTACATGCTTGCATCCACACTTTAAGTAAGCACTCAGCAACCACAACGATATTTACACTAACCATGATTTGGTGGAAAGCACGATATCCCACAACGTGTTGACCAGGTTGTGCGTTAGCTGACCTGCCACTCAAGGTGCAATAAGGCTTCTGAATTTTGGCAGTGTTGATGAAATCATCAATAGATTATAATGGCGATGATGGTGATGATGACACATTGTTTTACTTGTGGTATTTTTAACTAGATATTCTAATCAACGCGACCAAGGCACTCATGAGGATGAATGAGGTACAAGCTACATGTGAGTTATTTTAATCCGTAGTTAATGTTCTGCATAAGCTTATGTGAACGAAGGTGGTAAGGAGGCAGTCACGTTACAATACCCATTAAGCAATCTTTCACAATTTTGCTCGAGGTGCACCTTCACACCTCTGCCTCCCACCAGATCCCACACTATACACCAACATTGGACTGAATGAATCAACCATGCCAATTATCGTGAAGACAGAATGGAAATCGTCATGCCACTCACACACACGCACCCACTGCGTAGTTGTGTGCAGTCGAAGACGGTTTGTCTATACCGCGAGATGTTACCATCTTGCTGTGCAGAGATAACACATCAAGACTACAAATTGTTGTAGGCCCCGCTATGTGGTGTTTGTACAGCTTAGTTCCATCAGCTTATTTGCAACACTCAGATAACCGAGAAGACAAGTAAATGATCAGGAAGGGCAAAGACATGACCGTTTCCTAGGTAATTCAACCGAGTTGTGTTAGTTGCGCCACTGAGCATAAAATACCTGCCTGACCGAATGGGTTTGTCGATCAATGCAGAGGTAGTGAACGCGCTAAAGCACAAATGGATAAACAATCGAATGAAATAAGCTGGGTAGTTTGAAGGAGTCGCAATCACTGAAGTGACCAAGTAGATGGTTTATTAGTATCGATAAATAGGATGTGAGAAGGAGGTCACGAAGGCGGAGAATGCGACGACCGAATAATGCCAATAAATTTGCATGACTCACCACAAAACGCTTTACATTACGTGCTTTTAATTGGCACTGGATGGAATGCCCATCCACGAGGGATCAGTGTGGGTCCGAGATCTGCCACGTCGTACTTGCGCCTTCACGCACCACTCGGTAAGTGCCAAGATGCTCAAGTGCTCGAGAGGTCAATCAACGTGGTGGTTGAAGCGGCATCAAAGGCAAGTGGAGGAGTGCAAATCACTTCTCATGTGATGCACTTTGCTGATTCAATTAGCACTGCTGGATTGTGGTGAAATCAGTGATGTGGTCTTCTGAAATTGCAAATCTTCACGAACTAGTGCTACGTTTGAATTAGAAAATAAGGAAAATTCTGCTGGCATTTACTTTCACCTTTTGCTGGCTTCTTAAATCGTATTTCCAGCCAACCACTTTCCTTTACCGCGAAGGTCTTCCTACACGAAAAGTGACGGCTGTGTTTGCTGAAGCACTGTCGCACACGAGCAGCTGGTGTGAAATCTTGACTTCAGATTGAGTGGGTATGCAAATCACGTTGCATAAATTTGGACATGCGACTCATTGGCAAATTGAAATGGATTCACTTGATTTACTTCCAACTCACGTTTATCTCCAGACGTGCTCGCGGAGCGTCACGACAGCTCGTTTCACTGTAAGCGCAATACGCAACCATCTAGTCAATACACGTTTACGCAGTATCGCTTGTAAAATTTGATATGGTAAGTTGTCGTACACAATGATTTCTCTTGTTTAAAGCTAACAAAGCTCCACTAAGCCGACACAATCAATGGATTTGCTTGCAAACGAACACACGTCTGCGACCCGACTTTTAACAATTGTCTAGTTTCCAATGCCACAACTACTCTCCTGGAGAATTTTCCGCCACCGCGTGCTGGTAGCAACAGTTAACTAACGTTCACTTCTTTCACTATGAATTCAAGTTACACGCCTTTTTGGGAGTAGGTGATAAACTGTCGCCACTTCAGTACAAGACTCATTGAATTGCATGTGCAGGATTAAGGCGATTGTGCCATTTCTGCGCATCCACTCAGCTTATCTGTCTCATGTGAGTCCATCACCACAGTCGACACCTCGTAAGATTTTATTGCCACACCCAACCAAGTCAATGTCAGATCCATGTTTTGGCCGCAACCCAAATTGTGGTCTGCAATGGCCACTTATAAAATCATTCGGTTTAAGAGGCAAACAATGCGTAAAACAGCGATGATTTTGTGTTGTGAAATTGGTCAAACTCTTTCATTTTCGCCTTCATTACTATCATGCTGCAGCAGTATTAACGCATAGTTGCCGATTAATAAGTCACTGCAAAACGGCATTTCTAGGTGTGCTTGTAACCACCTCAAACGCACTGACGTGTTTTTTGTGGAAGCAATCAATAAGTGATAAACGGTGGATTTACATTCGGCAAATAAGTTCTGACACCACAATGTACACTACATTACGCAGCATTTCTCGTGTCACATCACCATCTTGCTCGCATCAGTCATGTTGAATCGTCAAAAGCCGTGCACTACCACGCTTCGTCAACAGCCACACTGGTCCAAGCGACACTTTACACTCTATCACGCATCTTCACATACCCACTCTTAAACCTATTCGCCTGTCATTGTCATCTGGCATCACCATCACCATCGTCGTCGTCCTCTCATGAACGGATCACTTATAACGACCAAATAACGAGCGTTTAAGTAATATTTCGATACTCTGCAGCCAATCGAGATCAGACGGGGTTCTGGCGTCGCCACTTACCAGGCCATTGTTAAAACGAACTTGCACTAGACGTTTTGGTCACATCGACGACCTGAACTGCCAAATCACATGCCTACAAGGTGCAATGTGCTACACCACGCCACAAGTCAAACCATTCTCATCATCATTGCGCCTCTGACACCGCGAGTGGAAAAATGCACGTAAGAGAACTGGAACAACACTACACCATCAAATACACCAATGGCAGCGATGCTACCATGGCGTTTTACGGTCAATACCAAACACATCACAAAACCTTAGCTCCGTGGAGGTGGACGTGTTATTGGTTGAAGTGATTGGAGCGCAAAGCAAAGAACACACAACACATGCTCGTGACCTCAACTCATGCCAATCAACACACAGAGGTGCAGTGATAGCGGAGTATAAAAGTGAGAAAGCAGTCGACGCTGGTAGGCAGCACCACAAGCATGATTGCAGTTCTCGCCCTGGTTGCAATTTGTCTCGTCAGCTTCACTGAAGGTAAGCAAGCACTTTCACTGCAGCGTTTCTTGCACATTCCTCTCAGCTGAAAGCCACGTTAGGTAAAGTAATCGACTATATTGGATCCATGTTAACTTGCGAATCGTGTTGTGCATTGGAACACAAACCATTGGAATTTTTCCTACGTTTCCATTGGCAACTTCAGACACCTGTAAAGCATACAGTCTTGTGTACTGTTTGGCGTTTCACTCTTAAATAAGCCGCCATATACTCTGACACATTATGACTTGATTTGGTACTTGAGGTGATTTAAGCGTCCATGATGCCCAACAGTAGACTGCTGCTGTCGAATCGCATGCAATGATGTGTGCAGAGGCTGCACCAATCAGTGTTGGCATTCTCATCTTGTGTTCTCATTCCGCCGTGTCTGGTAGCTCGCGAATCCTACTGCTTGGAGGAACCCGATGAGGGTCGATGCCTAATCGCGATGGAGAGGTGGTATTTTGATGCTGACACAAATAACTGCAGTACCTTCACATACGGTGGCTGCGGAGGCAACAAGAACAACTTCAAAAGCTATGAGGAGTGCGAAAGTAAATGCATGCATTGATGCGCGGCGGTCATCCAGACGCAGTAACATTCTTCATTAGTCAGAATTTGTAGTGCTTAGAATAGAGGAAATAAAGGCTTTGTCTTCTGCCACACTCTCGTCATCTTTCTTGTCCAAATGACTATGGTTGTAATGGGTTGCGGTGGTTCAGTTCCACGGTGTTTAGAGTTCAACGTCACTTATTCCTTGCATAGACGCAATTACTATCCCAAGATAATTTTATCTGCACGCATATATCCAAGCTGCAACTGACATGCGTACATTGGTCTTGTTAAAATACCATTGTGTAAACAGCCAGAAGAAGCTCCTTGGGATGTCCTAAAGCGAGTAAATTAGACGGCCTTGAAAATTCAAGCCACCCAGTGGGATCAGAGCTGCGTTCAACTTCAAAAACTAAAACGTAAAATGACACCGGTTTTTTAAGGACACACAAGTCACTAAATCGGATCAAAGTTGGAATTGAAGCAGACGCCAACTTTGACGCACCCACTAGACTTGAGTGGCTAGTGGATTCGTGTAAAGAATGACGTAATTCAAATCCGCGACGAGCCGTCTTGGGGAATTCAGGAACCCTTAACAAGGTCACATTGAATAGTCATGCATCTTGCGGAAAGAGCCCCTTCTTCTTGCTACTCTCGTCTTTTCTTCTAAGTGGATGCGCCCACTGCTTTGGCTGAAGTTGTACCTGGCGTTTAGTAAAACGTCAGCCATAGTCAAAGCACAGGTCGAATGATCCGTCTGATGGATCAAGGTTGATTGGAACAGATGCGGCTGTCAGTTGGGCGCCGTGGGGTCTTACGCACTGAATTGGCAACACTTGAACACTTGGCATTTCATCGATAACTTCATCAAGCACTCACCGAATTTTCTTCTCGTCATTGAACTGTGTGTGATCAGTTTAAAGGCACATGGTCGTCGCCAGATGGTAAATGAAACGCTTGGCACCCTTGTTTGTTGTTGGAAGACGTTCGAGGTGATTCTGCTGCTGCAGTTACAGCCTTTCCTTCCAGAGAGACATCTGATAGGTTGGTCGTGAGGCAGTTGGCGCATGACGCCTGAGCGTTGGTGTCAGATAGTTGAGGCTGTGCGACATAATTTAGAGTCTAGAACGAAGACGAGAACGGATCGAAGAGACCCCCCAAGCAAGCGTCGACTATGAAGAGCGTGGCTGAATCTCTTGCCCACCTCCTCCCATGCAAAAAGGTTCTTGTAAGTTTGGGATCTAAACTGACGCATTATATCACCGCGATGTCTTCTCTTACGTTGAGGCAAACACTAGCCCCGATAATGACTGAGATTCAAACTGGGACTAACATCGGTTTACGGACAAAATCAAACTATGCCGATACGAAAGAAGATAAGGAGGACTGCAGATGCCACAGAAGCGTCCGAGTTAGGTAGATCAGTCGACTTGTGCTTGACATGCGTTGTGCATTGCAAGTAAGGGGCAATGTAGATTTTAGTGTGAGACACTGTCAGCGGCGACACCAGTGCTGATGGACGCCAATCATCGTCGTAATTTAAAACCCTACAAATGCATTTTTCACGTGGAATTGCAGCAACGCATGCAAACATGACGTCTACCCATTCTGTCTGTCAGCGCCTGCAGTAAACATTCGTTCATCAACATACACCAGCCCCTTATCACTGCGTGGCAATCAAACTTGAGAGAACACCTACTAATTCACCCTACTTCATGTACCTCCCAGCACTTCATTTCACTCATCGGATAATTCTGTTATTTTACTTTAGCAACTTCACTCAAACTGCATAGGTCAACAACCGCAGTAGTCAGGCATGCCACAACATCTCTGGTTTCCTTCACTTTACTTAGAGTGACGTGTCACTTTCCCCTATATTTCAGTCAATCAATGCGGAGAAATCGGACCAACGCCACGCAGCAAGAAAAGAGTTGCGCTAAACCGCATGTCGGGGTAGAGCGGACAGCCAGCGATTGCGAGCAAGTGAAGTTGTGTTGCAGATGTGATGGTGTCAATGACTCATCCCATTCCTCATCGATCATCTCTAGTTATCAATCGCCTCTCAGCCATCACTCATCATCACACAATGGCACACATGCCTGACTTGGCGCTGCAAAAGCTACCTTCTTTTCCCTCTATGCGACTATCAATTAGAGGGTTATGAGATAGTGTTAAGCTGGGCATTACAGGCGCCTTCAGCAAGACAGACACATTCTGCCAAATGAATAGATTGAAATGCAGTTTATATAACATAATTATTATAAGAGCACTAAATCCAGCATATTTTACTTCTTATATCTGACCTGCCTGATGTGATGAATTTTCTGGAGCAGAAATCATAGTCGACCTGATCAAGCGGATATCTGCTGGATTAGGCCGTGAACGAGGTACTAGGGAGCCAATTGGCCTTGACTTCAGTTTTGACAAGCAGAATGGAGAAGAGGCATTAATTTGGTATGCACAGTAGGTTGCGTGGAAGGCTTTTTGTGTATTTTAGTTCAAATGATCAAATCGATACATTCATTTGCAGCAAGCATGTTTGTTCTCAAATAATGAAGTGTTTACCAAGTGGCCATTTCATTTGCGCAGTTGTGTAATTGTGCATTTAGCAAATATTGTAGACCGTAGTAAAGGGGGCGGCATAATTAGCAAATATGATGCTGAAGTGAATGACATTTCGTCACCAAATTTCTCTATTTGACTTGTCTTTTTTTAATACCAAGCTGCTACTATGATGAATAGCTAACTGATCATGATGAGATGGAACAGTGCGTACAACGTGACGAACGTCGTCGTCAACCAGTCATCGAAGGCCAAGAGTTACGCACATAACTAGTGACATATGACTTTGTACATTGCATGGATTCTTTCCCCACCAACTCATATAATTCCGCCTCCAGTCTAAAATGCACATCAACCAACACGTCAACACAAGTAGTGGTCGGGTACTGAACAAACACCCAATCAATGCACATTGAAGCCAATGCTCCTGACGAATTGCAGTCCTAAATTTACAGATGCCAGCGAAGCTTATCGGACTGGCTTTCGCATGTAGTGATTCGGGCTGATTCACGTCCACTAACCACGTCGTCGTCTTCACCACCACACTGACCCCGTTTTCACTGCCTCTCTATGTTAATCACGAGAGACCCTCTGCTCATGTAGCGCTGTTAGAGTACCTCCCTCAAACTACCCTTTCCATTCATCTTGGATTTCGATCATTTGTACTTTTACGGGTTCACCCTGGAAAAATGTTGTTTAATTTCCCCCTTTTCAGACACGAATTCCTATTCCATTCGCTCCGCCTGGTTGGGTGTCTAGATAGATACTTTGTATGTGAATATGTTATAGGCACCAGCAAATGTAAATGTGAAGTCAGAAATGTACAATAGACAACTTAATCAATGCATGAATGTGCTTTTCTTTATCATGTGTACACCTACAATGGTCAACATCTTGACTGGTTTTATGGCATCATTTCTGTCAGCTTGAAAAGGCAACAGACTACTCAATTTCATGGTCAACTCGAAGCCAGCAGACACCAACTGGGATGGACATCGGATGCATTTGTCAAATCACGTGCTTCATCATCGTGAAAGAAGCAGAGGAGTAATGGCAACAGAGGTTAGATTGTTTGTGAAGGCTGATTGGCCAAAGTTCATCTGGTGTGATCAAGACATGCAACGCATGCGTGACCCTTCCTTCTACGAACTATATTCATCAACACCGTGCCTAAGCAAATATCGTCGGTGAAATCAACATCATTGTTAGATTTGCGTGCATTCCTTGTTGGATTGATAAATTGAAGCAGATAATGCTTTTACACCCGGAATTTGCATTTCTTATATAGGTGTCGGACGTGGACATACACTAAGCAACTCGATTCATAGCAATCGTCAAGCCTTGTCCCGATAACACGTCAGATTACCTATTTTAAATCACGCTTTTGCACTACACGCAATCCAAAGGAGATTGCAATGCCATTTCCAATAGTGTCGCTTGCACATTCAACCGCAACATCAAATTCATTAACTTCATCTGGTTTGCGTAAGTTTTGTCCAGACAGATGAGCTGGGTGTGTAAATGAATCAAGCACTGCCTGATGTAAATGCGAATGTCGGAAAAGTACAGTAAGGGATTTGGTTAATTCATGAATGTACTTGTCTACATCACGCATGACCCATCTCAAAGTCGACGTGTACAACGCGAGACCAATCGAAGGTGACTGGAACTTGATACCTGGAAAAAAGACTTGTTGCATTTTGCATCAACCACTTCTTGCACAAATTGAGTACTGCACTCCTGTGTTACTCGCAGATTTTAACGTAAATGAAACATGCATCTTATGCCACGTTGATTGCAAATATTGGCTACTGGTGCATTTGTGGCTAGTTACTCATTCTCGATACACATAAAGTAGTTAGGGATTAGGATGTATGGTTGCATGGATGACAACACCATTCGTTGCCATCTCCACTCAGCGGTGAATCCACTGACCAAAGATATATGAATTTACCACAAGTCATTAATGAATGCGTTGAGTGCACGTACATTGACTTCATCAAGCCTCTTTACCGCCATGCTATGCTATTTGATTAAACAAAGTGGTGCAAGCAGAAGTGGTTTGCACCCCCTCGCTTGCCTCTGAGGCCACTTCAGAGACCACATTGATTGAAGGCCAGGGGGTCTTGGCAGTAAATGAGTTCTGCGTAAAAGTGCAAGTGCAACGTGGCACATTCGAACACCGGCAATTCAGTGATCTGCAGAAATATTCGATTAAAAGTGTGGCAACCTCATTACCAACAAATGTTTACTAGTGCTATCCACTGTTGTTATTGCGAGACAACCCAGCATTCACCACTGTTGGAATCGCATTTCGGTGAAAGCAGTTTAAACAATCGAGACTGCGCAATATAACAGAGCTAAGCTGAAGTCGTAAACGATGTCACTATCTCTGCATTAGCGCCAGCCCCACGAGAACATTTCATTTGGCCACAATTATTTCACACTGCTTCCCCT